TCCCCCCCCCCCCGACGAAGCTTAGGATTCCTCACTTTGATTCCTATAAAGGGAAGAGTGACCTGTTTGATCATATAGCTTATTTCAAATCGTCGATCAAAGTCTTGCAGATTGATGACGACAAGAAGAGCCTGCTTTTTCTTACCACGTTGAAAGAAACTGCACTCTGATGGTTTAATATCCTGTCGGATGGGATAATTAGATCCTTCTTCAAATTTCAAAAGCTCTTCATGTCACACTTCGCCAATGTATAGAGGTCGAGGAAGAATACACAAACTCTGCTCTAGATCAAGTGGGGGGAAATGAGAGCATGCAGGCTTACATTACCAGGTTCCAGAGGGAGATGTTGGAGGTTAAGAATTTGGAGCCACTCATAACCCGGACTGCCCTGAAGCAGGGGATCTGCAACAAATGATTCACGTATGAAATGAATTTACTTAAACCTAAGACCTTTTCAAATGTCCTAGAATTAGTCAATTATCACAGTACCATCGAGGAAGGCCTCATGGATTCCCCGAACACCAAACCAGGGATTAACAATCCTCGATCCTGGGAGGGTCGAGGGAATGATCAAGGGGGAAGAGGTCAATGACGCCGTATGGACCAACAGTCAGCTAAATATTATGAGTGGTCGCATGTATATCAAGAGATGCATCTGAATGTGTAGAAGTCCAAACAAGTCTAGACCATTCAAAATAAGGACTACTTCAAAAAGCCTCTTCACTGAAGATTGCACCAGCATTGTGCAATCCAAACAAGTATTATGCTTACCATTGTGATCGCGAGCACGATGTTGAAGATTGTTGTCATCTCTCGAACCTGGTGAAGGAACTCATCAAAGCTGAGAAGTTAAAAGAATTTGTCGCTATTAGAGTACACACACAGTGACAAGGCAAAGCCCCCGTATAGGAGCCCAAGTACAGACTCGTTCAAACAAAAGAGATCCACTTGGAATGGATCATTTTGGTCATTTTTTGAGGAGGCAGAGGATTACCCCGACAATCTGTCCTGAAGAGGCACAAGTCAAGGGAGGTATGTTTCATCAACTCTTACACTCATACTCACCCACCTAATCATTTTCACATAAGCAGATCTCCCACTAAAAGTGAACATGTATAACGAGGCAATCAATGCTATGCCACTCATAAATAATTACTATGTGAGTAGTATCCTGGTTGGCACTATAAGTTTGGTAAAAATCTTATTCAAAACGGTGTTCGACAAGATGGGAGTCAAGACCGAACAATTGGCGACACATTATGGTTCATTATTTGACTTCTCTATGGAAATGAAGGAAGCTCTGAGGGTGATCTCTCTCACTTATTCATAGAGAGAGCAGAGAAAAAGCTTACCAAAATAGAAATTTTTTTTGTGGTTGAATCCCCTCTGACATATAATGTCATCTTTGACCGACCATTGTTGAATAGTTACCAAGCAGTAGCTTTGAAATACCATGTGGCCGTGAAATTTCCAAGAGATAGAGAAATAATCATGATACGAGGAAACATGGAGCAGTCAAGGAGTTGTGACATGCAAGCGGTTACCAACGTCAACCATGATCCACTCGATATCCAGATAAGGAAGGTAAGGGGCCTCGAGCCTGTGAGGCCATCCTTCAGCTGCCTACTGAAGATGAGGGAGAACTTAGTAAGTTTTTTTTTTCTAATCAATGAGAACTTTGATACAGGGTATAGATACCTACTGATCTAAACCCTCTACAAGCATCAAGACGTATTTTCATGGACAATCGCTGAGATGACCAAGGTCTCGATCGACATTACATGTCATCGACTCAATATCAGCCCCTTCACTCAACCAATACAGCAGAAGCTTTGATCAACTGCAAGGACCTTGGCTAAACCAACAACATCAGATGTCCAAAAGCTGAAAGATGCGGGCTACATCTGAGAGGTGATGTACCCTACCTCTCTCCCAAATGTGGTAATGATTCAAAATCCCAATGACAAAAGGAGGATGTGTGTTGACTTCACTAATCTCAACGCCGCATGTTCGAAAGACACCTAGTCCTTACTAATAATTGACACACTGGTTGATGCGGTGGTCGACTACTCAGTGATAAATTTTCTTGACACCTTCTCAAGATATCACTATATAAAGTGCATCTGTCGACACAGAGAAAACTAGTTTTATTACAACACAAAGAGTTTTTTGCTTTGATGTAATGCCTTTCAAAATAAAAAATGTCAGGGCAACCTATCAAAGCCTCATGCATGTAATTTTTTTTAATCAAAAAAAAAATGTTGAGGTGTATGTTGATGATGTCCTAGTAAAAAGTAGATTGGCTAAGCAACGTATAGAAGATCTAAAAGAGACCTTTGAAACCCTTAAAAATTTTAACATGAAGTTAAATCCTTTGAAGTACTCTTCTGGAGCATTAACCGACAAATTCCTGGGTTTTTTTTAATCATTAATGGTCCAAAAGTCAATCTAGAGAAGGTTTGGGCAATCTTAGACATGCCTTCTTGATACACTTAAAATATATAGTATTTTTAGACACATTTTTATACCTATTTTTGAGATATTGCGCTTTAATGGAATGTATTTGTATGTTTTTCTTTCAGATACAAGTAAAAAGATGAAAAATACTAAAAGAAGTGAAAAAGGATCAAATTGTGAGAAAAAATGTGAAAATTGTGCTAAAGTGTTTTGACGCCTAAGCGCTGGTGAAATATAGAAGTTCGCGCATAAGTGCCAGAGGCCCCTCACTTAAGCACCAGAGGCAGTTATGTGACGGTTTACTTCATTTTGCCGAATTTTAAAGGGACATTTGAGACACCATTGGCTAAAGAGGGTGGTTATGACCACTAGAAACAAAAATATGGTTAGAAGACTTGTGAAAGGAAGCATCCTTTGGAGAATACATCGAATTGGGACACATTTTGAAAAGTTATCAAGGCACCTCTTGGTGACGGTTTACTTCATTTTGCTAAATTTTGAAGGGACATTTGAGGCACCTATTAGCTAAAGAGGTTTTTTATGACCACCAGAAATGAAAATATGATTAAAAGACTTGTGAAAGGAGGCATCCTTTGGAGAATACATCCAATTAGGACACATTTTGAAGAGTTATCAAGACACCTCTTGGAGTTTTATTAAAGAAGGAAGTTGAGACT